AGAGATCTTCATTTATCTATAACCATGGGATACAGTTCGACGGAAATAAAATAGCAACACATATTTAAGGTACATTTTCTTCTGCACCTTTTTCATTGCTTTTTAGTTTTTCACCAACGTAAGCTGAAAATAGCGAAGCATATGCTGACACTTTAAGCCATATTTTACATATTTTACGAGTAGCCAATTGCTAAAAATATAGCCTGGGGGACTAATTAATATTCGCCCCGAAGTGCATCAGCCAGATGAATGAAAACGCATTCAAAAAAAAAAAAAAAAAAAAAAAAAAAAAGCAATTCCTTATAATTTATTATTCCTTTCCATCTAGAATTTTCTTTTTTCATATTTGTAAATAATTGTGTATTTTTCTAAAAATTATCATCATTTCTTGGGTGCAATGCTGTAAGGTTTGTCAGTTGGAAAAAAGGAATTGAAAATCCAGTAAAGATGGCGTGAGTAACATTCCTACAATGTTCCTCAGGAAAGGTATGAATTCAACAAAAGTTACATTTCATCCGACAGCGAATTTTCCCGGATCCAGTTACTCTTTCCTATCAAAATGAGAAATATATACTGTGTATTTCGGTATCAAATATTTTTAAGGCAAATGTTATTAAAAACAACAGACATTTTCTGTCAATTAAATTTATTGATCGAATTATGAACAATAGTGATAGTATTTCTTCCTTATCTGAAAAAAAAGATTAACATGTCAATCAATAAAAATAATGGGCACAAAATGTCTGTTGTCTTTAATAACATTTACCTTATATTATATATATTTATCTCACTCTCTTTCTTTCTTTCTCTCTCTCTCTCTCTCTCTCTCTATATATATATATATATATATATATATATATATATATATATATATATATATATGTATATATATATGTGTGTGTGTGTAGAAAATATATATATATATATATATATATATATATATATATATATATATAATTATTTATATATTATATACGCGGTACTTATAAGAAAGCGCTCAGTCTCAGCGATAGAGCTAACATTTGTTTGTCTGACGATCGCAAAAGCGTGAAACCCAGGGTCACAAACTCACATCATTTCAACCATATATATATATATATATATATATATATATATATATATTCACACACAAACAGACACAGAGCGTGCGATGGATAAATTGTCGTCTAAATGTTGCAAAAATAAGATTGATATTTCATTTTAACAGATATATTTACCAAAATTACACAAAATATCTTGAAATACTAAAGAGTAAATTTACTCAATAAAATCAACATTGGCAACCACGACCCCCACCCCCACCCCAGAAGACTTCGGAATCATCTTTTTCCCTTCTGGATTATCTCTTTGTTTAAGGTGGTGAATGCTGCTATAATCCTTGCCCTCAGTACATCTTTGGGGTTACAAGGAGTATGTTGGTCTCTTGCTCAACATCTCCTACACATAATAATCAATGGGATTGTAGTTTAGAGAGTTAGATGGCCAGATGTAAGGAGTGATTTTGTCGCAGAAATTGTCTGATAGCCATGACTGTTTTCCCGTGCTTGTGTGCCATGGTGCAGAGTCCAGCTGTCAGATACAGGGTCTTTCAGCGGCTACACTCTCGAACCAAGGAAGCATTGCCTCTTCACGGCACTTAATGTAGGCCTCAGTATCGAGTCGCAGGCACTCAGCAACAAATTCGGGATTTCTTTACTTATCAGAATGACCAGAATGAGTTTTCCGGACTGTCATACGTTCCAAGTCATCATTACACTCATCCAACTCTTTCCGAATCCTCTGCTCTGTCCTTAGATTAACGCACAGACATTCTGAAATGTTCGTATGGGAGCTTCCGGTATGAAAATCTCCAGAGAATACCTTGATCGTAAGATTATCTACAGTAAATTTGCGCCCTGGTTCGTACAACATTTCCCCTTTCCTGGCAGAACTTCTATTATCACAGTGTTTGATATCTCTGTAAAAAAATATGGAAATAAAAAGAAAAAACAAATCTGTAAGAAATCGGCTAGATTAAAAAAAAAAAAATTTAATCTTCCCAGCATCCCTTGCTCGTGTGCATGTGGATTTGCACTAACTAAATTTAGGATGAAACGTACCACAAGAAAATAATTTCCACTTAGTTATACATTTTCCCCAATATTGTTTTTTTCTCTCTCTTCCGATACATACATACATATATATATATATATATATATATATATATATATATATATATATATATATATATATACATCAGGCCTACAGGAATGTAGGACGCCCATGGCTAAGATACAAAGACAAGCTGAAAAGCAACTTGTCAGCAGTCAATATACTGCATAACACCCTTGAGCGCTTAGCTTTGGAGCGGGTAGAATGGAGATCAACGTGTTTTAGTGGACTGAATCATCTTCAAGAAGCGAGAGCAAGGTCTAAACGGTCAGCCAATCCAACAGTGATCTCATCTCACATTTCTCACACCTGCTCCATATGTGGCCTCATTTGTAAATCACTAGCGGGTCTTAAATGTCACTTAAGATTATCGCACAGACTTTCATAACTGAATCAATAAGCTGGCAGATCCTCAAACGTCGAAACCGACGGGAAAGTCCATTATTATTATTATTATTATTATTATTATTATATATATATATATATATATATATATATATATATATATATATATATATATATATATATCTGTCTTCAATATTTATTATTGTTTACGTCTCATATAATCTGATATTAAAATCAGTTAAAGAAATTAAGTTTCATTTCTTACGATTCCGTTAATCATGTACTTTACTGACAAGAGAATTTCAATTGTCTCAAGCATATGCGTATGTCTTGTTCGAATGGAGCAGCAATGTATTGTGTGTAGACAAAGACCTCATCAGTGAGGATAGTTGAAAGACGATTAGTAAGGTTTAGATTTTAGGAGGATTTAGTCTTTCGCTAACAGTTTCGAATAAACAATTATTGATTTTGAGATTTTGCCAACAAATTTATACGTCTATCTTATTTGTTTTTTTACAAATAAGGAGAGAAATGGTCAATGATAAAAACAGAATTTGGTTAGAAAGACGTACTTTTTGCCTCGTTTAATCAATAGTAACATCGAAGCCGTGTATATTCGAAAGGATGTTGAAAAATTTGTTGGGCGAACTAACATTCTAAATGCAGTATTTTAATGGCCACCATTCCTTTGTTTTAGCATTTAAGTGAAGTTCTTTATGTGCAGTGCCCCCCCCCCCCGTAGGCGGTTATGGCTCCCCACAACTTTCTGTCCTTTGAAGCTCTAAATAAATTCTGTCTTTTCGGTATTTCTCTTAAACCCTGTTCCGCCATCCAGGTTACTCAAACTCACCTAGTAACATATGTTGCTTTCTGCTGTCCTTCTTGTACTCAATCCGTCCTGTGAGTATCAGATTCTCCAAGTCCGTCTTCCTCGTTATGTGCCCCAGAAATCTCAACTGCCTCTTCCTGATGTTAAGTATGAGTTAACTTTTTGTTTCCACTTTCTCCAAATCCACGTCGTTGCTCACATATTTGGCCTATGACGTCCACAGAAGCTTTCTGTCGAACGACATTTCTGTAGCTTCAAGTCTCTTCTCGGAAGAAATTGTTCAGCATTCACTGTCATATAACAGGACAGATATCACATCAGAGTTTTGTACTCTTTCCTTTGTTTATAACGAAGTTTTTCTTAATATTCTGCTTAGCATTTTGAATGCATATTTGGCTAACCGAAAATGCTTCTTCGGATTTCAGTGTCGCACAGTTTTTTTTTTCTCCGTTAAAACACTTCCCAGATATTTCAATTGTTTGTACTTGTTTGCAATTCGAATTTTTGGTTGACCTTTTTGCTGATAACCATTTTGTTTTCTTACAGTTGATGTTTAATTCTTTCTTCCTGCTTTCGTTCACTATATTCTATATGTTGAAACTTGACTAATGCATGGAATAATAATGCAACACAAAATGTACTTAGAACAAAATGTATTGAAACAAGAAAGTGTACACAATATTTACATATAGTCTTTTGTATATTCCTGGTAAGACCGTTCCTGGAGAAATGTGTTGACTGAGTCGCAGTCGGGCAGAGTCTCTGGATTGAATCTCTTGATTCCTCTCCCCGTCTTCCCGGTACCAACCATATTTATATGGTCGGTACTCCACTATGCAAATTAGGTGGATCCTACCACAACACTATAGGAGTTTTTGTAGTGCTCTTTCTGTGTCTGTTATGAACACCGTGTCATCTGCATATCTTATGTTCTAAAAATATTGGTAGGACTTCTAGTTCTCCCAGAATTGCTATTTTTATATTGCATATCTGATGAAGTCATTATCTACCCGTATATTTATCGCGTTCCCTGTTCCAGAGTCTTTGACGAACCTGCATTGTTTTTGTCCGATCTCCGGTCTGATTCTACAGAAATCGGTGATGAGTTGTATTGTATGGATCATTAGACAACTGGCTCATTTGCAATGTATTCTAAGGCTGAGCTCTATTACGATTCCGCCTGGCCTTGCCGCTTTGTTTCTGTTCTATTTTGCCAGTGCTGCTCCACTTCGATTTTTAATATATCCGGTCCATCGATATTTCTGTATATTGCCGGTTGTTCTATTTCGTCGTGGGAGTGTTCGCTGTTATATCTATTCCAACTCTGAAGTATTTTCCTTTCTGTGATATAATCGACCTGTCCTTAGATTTTATGCATCCTGTCTTTTGTCTTGTAAGTTCTCTTATTTTACTGTCTTACTCAACTGGTTACACTCTCATACAAAGTAAGGAGCAACTATACGAGAATCGAATTTTAGCTTCATGATAAGAGTATGTTTGACGATCGGTATTTTTGCGCATGGTACTTGTGTTCGAACTTTAAGTATTCGAAAGCTGATTTTCCAAGCAGGTGAACACTACACAATTAAAACAAATGATTTAATCTATGTTTTCCTACTTTCTAACATTCAATTTATGCATTACGAAATTTGAAATACCGTAAACGAATAAATAA